AAACTGCTGCCAGCACGAGTGCAGCAAAAATGAAGCTTCCTCCACTGGTGGTGAAGCAAGTCCCACTCAACACGATGATTGGCGATCTTTCATCGCTGGGCGTTCCAGCTGAGTTTAAGCTCGGCAGGATCGGCACCAAGGTAATGCTCCGAACCAAAGTGGAGTACGAAGTGGCCGTGAAATATCTGAAGGATACCAAGGCGGAATTCTTCACGCACGACATCCCCGGTGAGAAGCCCTTCAAGGTAGTCATCAGGGGTCTACCAAACTTCGTCCCCATTATGGTCGAAGCCGAAATCAACCAGTACAAGCTAGCCCCAATCGCTGTCTTCCGAATGACAAGGAGAGATGAAAACGTGAAGACGTACCCGGATTGTCTTTTCCTGGTGCACTTCCAGAAAGGGACGGTGACGCTCAATGCGCTACAAGCCATCCGATCGATCTACTCCATCATCGTACGGTGGGAGCCATACCGTGGCGGTCATCGTGACGTAACGCAGTGTCAGAGGTGCCTGAATTTTGGACACGGTACCCGCAACTGCAACATCAAGCCACGCTGCAGCAACTGCGCTCAAGAACACGCCACTTCCAACTGCCCTGCGGATGGAGCCGTGGCGATAAAATGCGCTAACTGTGGTGGTGCACATCAAGGCTCTGACAGACAGTGCTCCAAACGCGAGGACTTCAAACGCATCCGAAAGCTGGCGTCAAGCAACAATCAACCAGGACGCAAGAAGGACAAAACCCCATCATTCAGGACGGAGGATTTTCCGCCTCTTCGTGCTCCCCAGCAAAGGCAAGCGAATTCGCGGGTGCAACCCGCCCCCCCTCAAGAAGCTTCTGGTGATTCTGCTGGCCAAAGCTCTCCATCCCCCCCTGGATTCTGGAGACAATCAACAGGGCAAAACAACAACCCCGATCTGTTCTCAGCGGATGAACTGATGGAAATTTTCGTCAACATGTCCGGTGCTCTTCGTAAGTGCCGCAATAAGCCCGAACAGATCCAAGTGCTCGGTAAGTTCATCATCCAGTATGGCGTCTAAACCGCTAACTATCGTCACCTGGAATGCTTGCTCTGTAAGAGCAAAAAAGATTGAGCTTGCCGACTTCCTCCACAAGCACAGCATCGACGTGGGCCTTCTAACCGAGACCCATCTAAAGTCCGGCGACAGCTTCTGGTTGCCTGACCACAACATTATCCGGCTTGATCGCACCAGCTCCAGGGGGGGTGGTGTTGCGGTCGTCGTCAAGAAAGGAATAAAATACCACACTCTGTCCCATATCCGCACCTCTATCATCGAGGCCCTTGGTGTGGAGGTGGAGTCGTCGACTGGATACGTCCAGTTCATCACCGTCTACTGCCCTCGACAGTGTGCCGCCAGCAGCGGACTAGCGGCTAAATTCAAGAAAGTCCTGTCCACCATCACCCGTACCGGTTCCCGCTTCGTTGTTGGAGGAGATCTGAATGCTCGCCATGAGGCCTGGCGGAACTACCAGCAAAACCAGAACGGTCGTCTGCTGTTCGACCATTCGCAGCATGGGCTGTACTCCGTTTGGTACTCGGACGATCCAACATTCATCTCACCGGCAGGCAACCAATCAACGCTATACCTGTTTCTTTCAAATACCGGCTTGTCCAAGCCGGTAGCCTTAGACGAACTCAGCTCCGACCATCAACCGGTGGTGGCTGAACTGGGATACAACGTACACACTTAAAACCAAAATCTGTCCTCGGTGAAATGTATTGCCGTAGCCGTACCGTAAACTGGAAATATGCCGAAATTTCGTTGAAGATACATGATTCGCCGAAATTTTAAGTTTTTTTTCAGCGAAATTTCGGTAAAGTCAATCATTTACCAAGACTCGTCAGAGGTTATCACTGATCTAGTTGGCAAAGTGTCAAACTACCGAAGTCTTAAAAACTAATTACCGAACTCTACGGCATATTCATTTCATTTTGCCGAAAGTACTTAAAATACTTGTCAAATCAGAAACGGCCATATTCCATGTTTTCAAATTGCCGAGAATACGGGAAATACCTGTCAGAACGAAACGAACTGTTGATAAGTGCACGCGTGTGTTATATTGTGTGGAAGCTGCTGAAAACGTTAAAATGGAGGAAGTACATCGTCAGCTGGATGCGGAGGAAGTTAGTGTAAAAAGTCGAGTACTTCAAACCCTACGTAAGTAATAAATTTGTTTATTTCTTTTTAGACTAATTCTAGACCGAAAAACTGTATTGTTTGCTTCTTTTGTAAGCAGCAGGTTCCAGGTTATGTTGACGCCTTACAACGTCATGTCAACTACCATTTAAAGCAAAACCATTTTCGTGCTGATGTTATTCTATATAACTGCACATTTTCAAAATGCAAACTGAGCTATTCCCACTTTACTTCGTTGAAGCGACACATTCTTTATTCACATCCGCTTAAATTGAGTAAACAACCGTCAAACATTCCGTGTATTGACGACCCTTGTGCATCACCAAAAAAAATGAGGTTAGGTTTTCCAACTTCTCTTGAGTTTTCTGAACCTCAGTTGGAACAAATGAACGTGCCGGATCAAATGAATCCTTGTGAAATATCAGTGGAAGCAATAATTAAAGTAGCCTCACTAGGAATTTGTCGACTTATGACAGACGTCTCTTTGCCTCAAACGAAGGTCGAAGAAACTATAAAGCTCTGCGAAAACTTAATCTTACTGACAACGCAACACCTGCAGCAAGAAACAAGGCTGTATTTAAAAAGTATTAATATTGATACTAATTCTGACGGTGTGATGAATTTTCTTAACGTATTTCACCTTCCTGATTTATTCGCAAATGTGTCTACTCGAAACAAGCAAGCACAATATTTGGAGGAAATGGCCATTACTGTACCCAAACCAGAAGAAAAAATGCTTTCGTATCGTGAGGATGTTCGTCACGTCTATGGACATCATAAAGTAATACGCGTAAACGAAACGTTCTCTTACATACCTATTATCGATACATTGAAGTTAATTCTTAGAAACCCAGATAATCGAAGATTGCTGAAAGAAACTGAACATCATTATCCATCTCAGTCTTGGAGTACGACTAGTATTAAAGAGTATAGCTCCTTTTGCTCAGGAGAAACATACAAAAACAGGGATTATTTCATGAAGTACCCTGATGCCATAAGATTATCCTTATACCAGGATGATGTAGAGCTTGGAAATGCATTAAGTTCCCGAGCAGGCATAAACAAAGTATCGTGTATCGATTTTAAAATCCAAAACTTTCCGGATAAGTACAACAGTTCTCCACGAAGTATATTTCCTGTTATTTTCTGCACTACGCTGGACGCAAAGCACCACGGATACAATAAAATAATGCAACCGTTGGTTTCTGATCTTAAAAAGTTAGAACAAGGCGTAACAGTGTACTATGGATCCGATAAGTACGTTATCAGAGCAGTTCTGTCGGTATTCTGTGGTGATACACTTGCTGCACATGAAGTATTCAATTTACTTGGACCGGGAGCTAACTTGTTTTGCAGAATTTGCACTATTTCGCGCCCGCTCTATAAAGAAGACCCTCATAGAGAATTTCCACTACGAACAAGACAATGGTATGAAAGTCAGATGAAGTTGTTAGAAGAAGGACAAATCTCTCTATCAGAATGTGGTCTCAAAGCTGGTGGTTGTATTCTAAATGAATTAGAAAACTTCCATATCACTGAAAATTTTGCATTGGATGTCATGCATGATGTTGCTGAAGGCATTGTACCGTTAACAGTGCAATTGGTACTAAGTACTTACACGAAGGACAAAAATGTTGAAATAGACGTTTTGTATATCAACTACCGTATCAACAGTTTTGCGTACGGATATGTCGACAGGAAGAACAAACCCTCTGCTAATTTTACAGAAGAAATGCTGAAAAAGCCAAGTGCTTACAAAATGAAGCAAACTGCAACACAAAACCTTCTGTTGCTTAGAGCATTTCCATTCTTGTTCGGACACAAAATCCCTAGTGATTGCCAGTATATATTGATGATTGGCCATTTGATTAATATTACGCGAATCCTCATGTCTCCAATAATCTCTGATCATCTATTAACTGAACTTGAAGAGCATGTCAGACTTTACCAACAATTGTTCTATACAAATTTCAACAAACGGATTAATAAAAGTCATCACTTGGAGCATTATGTGCATTGTATCAAGCAAAGTGGCAATATGAAACAGTTCAGTTGCTTTACTTTTGAGCAGAAAAATAAGTCGTTTAAAAACCAATCAGCCACATGCCGAAACTTCAAGAACATTTGCAAAAGTTTGGCCAAACGACAGAGCTTTAATATGGTTATCAATTTACTTGATAATCCATTTACTGACAAAATTGTATACAAGACCGGAATCCTAATGCTACCTAAAAACAGCAAAAGCAGACATTTTTTGCAAGGAAACGATGAACCCGTGTTTGTCCCAAAAAGCGTTACAATCAATGGGATAGAATTTCGACCTAATTTAGCAGTTGCTTGTAAAAAACCTAGCATGGATCTGTTTCCTCTATTCGTCGTAATTAAAGAAATAGTTGTAGTCGACAACAAAATTAATTTTTTGGTGCAGGAATGCAATACGACAGACTACAGTGAATTCTTTCAAGCTTACGAAGTTGAAATTAATGAAAGGGAGCAATTTGTCAATACTGATGAAATTCATAACCACTCCACCTTCACCTTTTGGATGCCGTACAACAGTAAAAATAAGTACATTTCTAGGCGCTTCTACCGCCGAGATAACTGAAAGAATTAGTGTAAACACTGTGTTATTATTCATTACAGGAATATTATTACCTATAATTCACTTTCAGATGATGAAGAAATCACCAGCCTTGCACTATTTATGTCGCTAGATGACACCGACTTCACCCGGCTGAAATTAAAAACTAGAATAATAAAAACAATACTGAGAATACAAATGCACTTAACCTCGAGCCAGCAGATAATTGAAGAGGAATACCTTGAAACAGCAGAAGAAACAGAGGAAATCGGTGCAGCAGAACAACAAGCAAGCGAAGAATCGATCCACCTCGCTAGCCGCTCGAGCCAGATAAATCCGTATGAAGGAATGACGTTGGAGCATGTAAGTTGCAAAAAAACAGCTGATAATGCACTCCGTTTGACACACACCAGCAACATTAATCAACAGCAGGGCGAGATGGACCGAACCCGGTCTTAGCCCGGGACGTCTTAGCCAAGTCTTTGACACAAGCAAAGGAAAAAAAAAAAATTAATCAACAGGTAGAAATATGACAGCTCCATGCACCATGTAAACATCACATTGAGCTGAATCTATAATATCAACAGGGGTAATAAAGTGTGGGAACCCAACGTTGAGTATAATCATAGTCACCTACTTTGGGTACTACTAACTTACTTTTGGGTAGAAAGCTAGTGGAAAATTCGAACGAATTGCACACAAGTATATCAAAACTATAGTTGAACTTGAATCCGGTTTACTTATTTATAGTGCCCAGATGAGTGAAAAGAACATACTTTTGGGAACTTTTTCCTTACCGTGCAGACGGCCAATGAGAGTAATTCAAGCTGAACATTGCATTAGGTCCTAAGTAACATTGATCGATTCTCTTCGTCGACTTTTTCTTTCGTTAATAACTTGAGCATATAACCGTTTCTTGTTGTGTTTGTCGTATTAGATGCTAGATAAAAGCTTCTTTTGTCGATCTGTGTGTTAAAATACCTGGGAATGTCTTTACATGGCCGTAAGGCTACAAAGAGAAAGTCAACGAAGAGAATCTGTCAATGTTACTTTGGACCTAATGCAATGTTCAGCTTGAATTCAGTAACTGAGTCGAATTCAACTCAAAATAACAAAAAGTGACACTGACGAATTTACGATGAAAATCGATCAATGCAGACAGAGCTAATGAAATCTCACGTCCACCTTTCAAAAATACCAATCTACATTGATTGATTATCTTTACCGACTCTCTCTTTCGTTAATAACTTAGCTTCAAAAACATGTTCGGCTGTTCTTATCCTCCAATATACTTAAAAATACTTTCTTTTAACATGCTATGTTGAAAAATTAGTTTAAAATATCAATGAAGTCAAGTTATTAACGAAAGAAAAAGTCGATGAAGAAAATCGATCAATGTAGATTGGCCTATTTGAAAAGTGACGCGAGGTTTCATTAATTCTAGATCAACAATAGAAAAGGGCCCATCAGCATTTGTAAACAAACCGTTCCAAAGCCCTTTACTCACAAAGTGAAGGCCACCCACGCAAACCAACACTATCATCGGAAACTTCTACTTACAAGATGATGGTGTTGGTTTGTGTGGGCGGCCTTCGATTTGTGAGGAATGGGCTTTGGAACGGTTTGTTTATAAATGCTGATGGGCCCTTTTCTATTGTTGATCCAGAATTCCTGTTTGCATTGATCGATTCTCTTATACGGCCGATTTCTTCACCTCCGCTTAAGCATTAAACCAGGTTTAATTATATGGGTAACCCTGGTTTAAGATTTAAGCGGAGTTGAAGACATCGGCTATAATAGAGATTGCTAAAGTGTGATTGTGTCAGTGATTTGTTTTCATCGGGAAAATTTTCCGCCATGAAGTTTTTTTTCCCGATGAAAACATTTTGCGTATACGTATACGTGACGTAGTGTGCGTGCAATAAACGTCAGCAATCTCTATAGTCAATTCGACAGTGACACTTTTTGTAATTTTGAGTTTAATTCGGCTCAGTTACTGAGCTAGTCTCATTGGCCGTGTGCTGTTAGTTGTAATTCAAGCCGAACAATGCATTAGGTCCATACCATTGATCGATTCTCTTAATCGACTTTCTCTTGTATCGAACAGTGTTAATAAAAATAGCTTGAAATATACATGGCCATGGAGATGCAAACAGAAAATCGACGAAGAGAATCTGTCAATGTTATTTAAGACCTAATCTATTATTCGGCACGTTTTTTTTTATTTATTTCTATGGAATAATATTTTGATCAAATGCAGCTCTCATATTTCTACTTGTGTTAAACAATGACAATATTGCTAAATTGTGTTGATAAACCCTGGAGTATACTCAATATTAACAGGGCAGAGGTATGTTAATATTATGTAAATAATGTTCTGAATTTTGCCAGGAGATCAACATCGATACCGTTCTATCAAAAACTAATAAAGGTCAGGAGTTGATGGAAGCTTTGAAGGAAAACCGCAATCTTGATGACAAGATGATTAAAAAGATAACCCACCTGCTATGTGATTTCCTAACATCGATTTACGGAGTGTAGGTTTTGAAATAGTTCGAAAATAAGTTTGAATCCTTTTTCATATTCTACTTTTGTATTTCAGCCGTGCTACCACATTCCACAAAAACCTTTTGGCCAAATCTCTAGTGCAGTCGTATCCGATGTTGGCATCAAAAGTTTCCGATATTCCTCAAGTACGAATTTAACCTGTACCAAAAACAAGGAGTGATTCCTCTAACAGGATATTAACTACACAAATTCTCCATTATTATATGTTTAGGCCTTATGGTTTTATGTCGATGGTCGGGGGCCAGGACGACACGCAGGAAAAATCCATTATCATTTGGAATACCTCGCTAAACAATCTGGCCAAAGAGTTATCAACAGAAAATCGGCACCGAAAGAGGAAACGTGTGAATCAAGCGAGCATCAGCCACTAGGTGAGATCGAACTGATAACTTTGGTAGGTTATATTAATTATATGTTATTGGTGTATTTTATAATTTGTTTTATTTACCAGATCGAGGAATTGAAATTTGTCGTTCCGACCGAGGACAATAAAACTCGGATTGCATATTTATGGGATTCAACATTTGACTACCGCTGCCAGTATCGTGCGAATAAAGATGTTTTTTCGTTTCTGGAAGAATTTCCTGTTGCCTCGGCGTTTGATGGCGAGCTGGTATTCAATGTTTAATGCTCTGTACAAACTCTCTAAATGAATTTTCAACCATATTTTTCCTATCCAGATTGATTACGACTTCAAGAAAATGAAGAAAAACACGGTGGACTTCACCGATAATTGGAAGCATTGGCAGGAAAAAGTTTTGCAAGGACATCGCCACCTATTCAGAGAGATAAGTAATGGTTCGTATAACATTCATTCATTAATAATTCATCTACTAGATTTGCATGTGTTGTGGTTTGTTTAGATTTTGTACGTGCATTGGCAATAATCCGTGCCAAAAATCCAACACGAGGCTCAAAGCGCTTGCGTGATGAGGAGTCAGCGAAGGAGAATCCGCTTAAAGGAATTATCGATTGGGTTAGCGTAAGTTGTTCAATTTTATAAAAAGAGAAATGTCAATTAAAAAGAACAATATGTTAAAATTATAATATTTATATGTTACATAATATTTTGTTGGTAGAAGCCACATCAATGCCATACTAGCTTATAAGTTACTAAAACAATCTTATAAGAATTTACTGTTTTTAACATTTTTAATTATGGTACACAGGTACACGACGCAATTCTCATCCACCCCATCACTCCTACTTTGATTGTGCGCGGTGACTTGTTGGACAGTGGCGAACAGTGTTACATCGCATGGAAGGGTATGAATATACCTATCGGATGCAACATTATTTCTGCGTTTGGAAAGCTGTGTCAAAGTTTCGACGTGTTTGCCGTAGATTGCGTGCCCAGCGACAAGCAGTTCTTTCTTTTCTTCAAGGCGGCTGTCTTCGCTGTCAGTAAAATCGGAACTACTGGGGAAAAATTTGTGCGTTCTCTAGGGTAAAAATCAGTTGGTCCAGTAGAATTAATCAGTATCTCAGCAAATTTCCTACAAGTTTTTGTTGATAGAAAAAATCGCAATTATTTAGAGATAAAGGAGTATGGTCGATTACCTTTTTGTGAAATCAAAATGTAGAGTAAAAATCTAGCGTGTTAGTCAGAGAAATGATTTATTGTCACAGAAGAATACGATTGTAAACAAAAATACGTTTGAATAAATAGAAACAATGGTTAAGTTTTATTATATTTCTTTTCATTGAATACCAAAATTACAAATAATAGAGAGAAAAACATAAAAAATACCGAGAAACCGCAAAAAAAAACTACCGAATTGCAGTAAACATTTTTGCCGAAAAGCAGTAAAATATTTTACCAAAGAAATCGGCAAATTATGACAGCTGGGACAAATTTTGTTCTGCCGATCTCACGGCAATCAAATGGTTTACCGAGATGTTTGCCGAGAGCTCGGCTGTTGGATTCTCGGCAGTCTTTTTTGCCGGGTTCGGCAAAAAAATCTAAGTGTGTAGCTCCTGCTCCAAGCTTGCGCAAGGACTATCATCGCGTAAACTGGGCCCAGTTTGGACGCGTGGTAGACAGGCACATCATCGACAACCTGCCGCTTGACTCCGTGGAGGACATCGACCGAGCGTTGGAGGGACTCCACCAAGCCATAACCGTGGCTGACGAGGCATGCGTCCGACGAGTTCCTGTGAGGAGTAAGTTTATTGCCATTGATTCCCACACCCAACTCTTAATTCGCCTGAGAAATGTTCGTAGACGCCAGTTTCAGAGGACTGGAGATCTGGGCAAAAAACGTGAAATGGCTGATCTGAACAGACAGATTTCTTCCAGAATGGACTCACTCCTAAATGAAAGTTTCGGGCGTGTTGTCCAGAATCTGGACGACCGCTCCAGACCATTCTGGAAGGTAGCCAAGGTCCTGAAAACTCATCCCAAACCCATTCCACCTCTCAAAGTCGAAAATGATGACGATCGGCTTTTAATCACCCCACAGGAGAAAGCAAATGCGATCGGCGAGCATGTCGCTTCATCGCATTTGCTTGGCCCGAATATCCAAAGTCCGCTCGAAGATCAGGTTGCGCAATGCGTTCAAAACCTAGATGCCTCCCCTTGTGTCGTGCCTCCGGCGGATATGATTACAGTACAACAGATTTGCTCAGCGCTGAAATGCACCAAGAACATGAAGGCTCCCGGGTTTGACGGTATATTCAACTTGATCTTGAAGAGACTCAGCATGCTCCTTGCTACTCTGGAAAGTAGCAAAAATCATACCAATCCGCAAACCCGGTAAGGATCCCACATTGTCTTCAACCTACAGACCAATCAGCCTCCTTTCAGCGCTGAGCAAATTGTTCGAGAAACTCATTCTCAATCGTTTGCTCAAGTTTGTGGAGGAAAATAACATTCTCCTTCCGGAACAGTTTGTATTCAGAAAGGGGCACTCTACCAATCACCAGCTAGTACGGGTGATGAATAACATCCGAAGTAACAAAGCTGTATCCAAGTCCACAGCCATGGTCTTGTTAGACGTTGAAAAGGCGTTTGACAATGTTTGGCATGACGGACTTGTGTACAAGCTTTCTAACTTCAACTTCCCATTACATCTGGTTAAAATCACCCGTAACTACCTTCAGCAAAGGTCGTTTAAGGTATCGTTGAATGGTTGTCTTTCAGACACGTTTTCCATCCCAGCAGGAGTCCCGCAAGGCAGTTTGCTGGGCCCCTTGCTTTACAGCATTTATACTTCCGACATTCCTCCCCTCGGTGACGGTTGCGTGTTCTTCCTGTTCGCAGATGATACCGCAATAGCCGTCAAAGGAAGGATGCCTCGCGAAATAACGAACAAACTTCAACGATGCCTTAACGCCTTTGCTGATAATGCCACCACGTGGAAAATTAAAATCAATCCCTCCTAAACACAAGCGATCATGTTCCTCCATCGGCAATCGCCCAAACTGAAACCGGCTCCATCTTGTACTGTAATCATGGATGGCACAAGGGTTGAGTGGTCTGCCGAAGTAACCTATCTCGGGATGTTGTTTGATGAAAAGCTCCTCTTCCGTTAGCATGTAGAGAAAACAGTAGTCAAGTGTTCTGCCTTGGTTAGGTGTCTGTATCCGCTGATTTGCCGCAGATCCCGCCTCTCAAGGGTGAACAAACTGGCCGTCTACAAACAAATCATAGCACCTGCGATCCTCTACGCAGCTCCGGTGTGGGAATCATGTGCAAAGACTCACAGGAACAAAATTCAGGTCGCTCAGAATAGAGTGCTGAGGATGGTCCTTGATCGTCCTTTCGACACTAGAATAACAAATTTACATGAAGAGGCAGGCATTGCCAAAATAGATTCCAAAATTAACGAAATTAAGACTAAATTTGCACAAAAATGTAATTTATCAGAACATGCTTTGATAAGCAATTTGTATATAGTAGGTTAGGTGTACATAGTAGTTGTAGGTTAGTTGTAGTTGTAAATAGTAATTTTAAGTAGTCTCCTTTTTCCAATTCAAATCAAACCAATCCCACCAAGGTGGTCATACTTTAAAATAGGCCTGATAGGACTAGGAACTGTAAATAATAATTAAAATCTCAAATGTACTAAAGTTGAAAAGACGCATCTGTGTCACTTAAAAAATTCTTACATGTAAACCACACAATCACAAGAAATAAAGATCATTTAAATGGCAAAAAAAAAATGGTTTTCTTCGTCATTTGCTTTCGAGCAATGGACGGATAAGCGTCGGACACGACGTATGATAAAGGAACAGCACGTATCGCACCAATACGAAGACGACGATGAATGCATCCGCATCGACCGGAGGAAAGGTTTCCCGCAATATACAATATGACAGTATGGCCGTCATCCGGTTGGTATCGACTTGCACTGGTGTGAAAGAGCCAAGTAGCGCTAGTTGTTCTTTCACAACAATCCAATTCAATGCTGGCCGGAGCACGTCTTGGTCTGATGTGAATGCTGCCATATACTTGCAACTAGGAACGCTCAGACGAAAAATGCTCCAAAAGGACCTAATTAGCTATTCTGCAAATATAAAACAGACTGTAATTCAGTGAACGTAATCATTTGCAATTCCATTAGCTGTGAGGACAGTCGTTACAACTTATTTGAAAGACCCAGACAGTGGACGTGGACATCGGAATGAGAAGCATTCGGCAACGACATCCTTCGAACGTTACACAGCTGAGTTTGACTACAATGATCACCTGCGTAATGCTGCTGCCAGGAAATCCATCTGAGCACGGTGTCTCTGGAGATACCCAAGTACACTAGTTTGTTCGCTTCGATTTAAAATTGCAGTTTTATTTGTGACGGAGATGGTCACCACAAATTTAGTAGGACCCTGAAGAACGCGGACATCGAAGGCTCTCTGAGAAGCTTGACCATCTTTCGGACGTTCCAGTGCAGGCGTTAGGCTGATTATAACATTGATTCAATCGCTGTGCAATGGTGTAAGCACGCCATCCCGAAAGTACCAGCATGTAAATCTCTTGGATCCCAAATGACCTTTTTCAGGGCCACTCTATTTCTACGCTATAGAATTTCTTTTGGGATCTCTAGATGGTGTGTAAAACAGGTTCACAAAATATAAATATGTTTGAACCATGGAGAGAAATAACTGCAAAGAATCATCAATTAGTGCCAATAGCAGTGTTCGGAAAATCACTATCAGCTTTGGGTCATTGAGTCTCCGTAAGAGCATAAACTTGCGTGTATCATCCAGCTCTAAACCTTCCCGCAGACGTCAATTGGTAGCATGTTTATGCATTTCGTGTTATTTCTCCATCCACTGAAGCAAATACAACAGCAATATCAACAAACAGCGCGAAAATAAAAGGAGCGCCAAAAGACAACAGCGATTAGTACCTATTCGTTCCGTACCCTCCAACTCCAACAACCCTTGCGAAGGGCACCAGGAAAAAACAACAACGGTCCATTTCAGGGCAACCAATTCAAATACAGAAGGAGTTAAGATAATAGATTTTCGAATAATTAAAAGAACTAAGAGCAAACATGGTTATTCCGACCACTCACGGCCTTTTCGCAACATATTCCAGATCTTAGATGTAAAGTAGTCATCACCTTTTTCTCTTACTATCGCCCTATACTTACTGATATAGCTTAGTGGTAATATCATCATTCAGAATTTAATGTCACAAACAATCTTTTAAAATTACAGGATCAATAATCACTATTTTCATCAGCTACACGGTAGCCGTCCCAAACGAGCAGCGTCAGATTGCGGGGTTGTTAGTGTATTAGAATGATTTGTTGATTATTCATGAACTGAACTTGATAGCTGGGAACGCTTATGAATATTTTAGCTTTTAGCTACCTGGTTAAAATGTCATATTTAATTATCTTAAAGATAAGGCGCCCTCCTCAAACCCTTGTAGGGGTAAGAGGTGGAGCCATCTTCCTCATCAACATTATATCATCAGTTCTGTCGAGTTAAATAGCTCGTGCCATTTTGTAAAATGAACTATTTTCAAAAACATCTTCCTCCTTATTAATTTACGAGTGATTGTAGCTTTGAAAAAAAAAAATCATTATAGCAAAACAACCTAAGTAATGTCACATATTGGTGGTGAAGACTTATGTATGAATTATAACAGACAAAGACAAGGTACTCCATTTCTTCTAATTTCACTTAGACCGAAAACCACCTATCAAGAGAACCCATTGTCGTTGTTATCGGCGTCATTATTTAACAAGGTTGAACAATGAAATCAGTTCGCACTAGATTCGGAGTTATGCCACAATTCATTAGGGAATACGGTG